TTTGCACCCTCAGATTCCAGATTTTCAAATAGTTGTATCTCAGCCAAATATTGTCCAATCCTAACAAACCATACATCAATGGAAAGCTTATTTATTCAGATGTATTGAAATCTCAATTTCAAAAATGGACTTTTTTATGACTGGTTTTGTGGTCCAGGGTCACATTTGCAATTACACAGTTACAGAGTAAAGCATCTTTATTTTGTGCCATTCCTGCTGTTTTATTTATCCTTACCCTGTGACCATTCAGCTGTAATGTTTTACCCACTGTGGCTTTACAGTGAGCTATTACCAATGTCCAAATGTCCACTTGCTTAATTCAACATACAGAAAAAAATATGCCTGACAAATAAAGTCAAAATTTGTTTTAAACCACCACCATAATATTTTCTGATCCAAAGAAACAATGAAATATCGTGAATGTTTCTTACAAGTAATGAGATGTCTATGAAACATCCGCTTTAATAAGATCAAACACAATATTATGACAATGAAGCATTATTGAATTTCACCCTGTGTAAACAACAGCATTTATGATTATGTGCACATTAAATCCTCCAATTAAATTTACTGGTATTAAAACACCAGTAAAACTAAGTGCTTACATTTAAAGATTCAAATAGTTGAGGAGGCAATAGCAGAGACTATTTTCCCATGCCATAAACCACTGATTGAGGTGCGGTAAAGGCACTTGAATATAAATCAGTTCCAGCATGCTTTGATGCAGTGTAACAAGGATTCATTTGTGTTTGGGATAAGACATAAGATGATGATAGAATGAGTGCGAAGAGTTTCACAGACAACATAACAACACTGATTTACCTCAATATAAACAACCTGAACTAAGCAGATTTAAACTGGACAATATTTACACGTTTGTTCCCATAACCCACGTGCACATGCACAAATACATACAATTGCACATGCTCAGTTCAATGTCAGGATATCCTTGAGTTTTTCCTCCATGAGATAAAGCTGCCCATGGAAAGTGACCTGAACTCTGAACGTTTTCCACAAACACATGATTCTCAGTTCAGGTTCAGCACTGATTCTTAGTTCCTGCCTTCAGATGATACACATGATTCTCATGATACCACTGGAGTCATGTCCCATAGCTGAATGTAAACACACCACAGATATTAAAACTAGCACAGTCTCTATCAAACAGTACACTCACAATTGAATGAGAACAGGTACTGGCCTTGATGATTTTGTCTGTCCCGGAGGTGAGCAGCCAGCCCCTGGTTGGTTCATACTGCATGTGTATGATGCTGTGCTTACTGTCATGGAATGTTGCAGTGGGCGCCCGTCTGGACAAAAAGAAAGCTTTAGGTGATTCTAGCATGTAAGAGACTCAAAACATTGAAGACAATCAACATTTGACTTACTCCTCATCCGTAATGGAGCCGTGACAACTGTCACAAACCCGCACCTCAAACTCAAATCCCATCAGAGGAATAGTGGAGCGTTTAGAGGAGCACTTTCCACACACGGCCTGGCCACAGTTCCTACAGTGATGCTGGGAAAGAGCAAATCAAGCTGCTTTATATGAGATTAAAGTGTGGGCTGAAGGCTGAATAACGGACCGCAAACTTAATCAGAAGCACTTTATTCATATTTTCTGAAAATAGGTCTTAATGCATTTGCAGTTCTCGTATAAATATATTTTATGGTAAGATATTTTAAATATAATTCCAGATATGTATATATTCAACATGGATGATTAAATCAAATGTATTTAATTTAACAATAATTTGATCAAAAGTGACAGTAAAGACATCAATATTCATCAATGTATCCTGAAAAAAATGTACCACGTTTTCCATAAAAACATTAAGCAGCACAATATTATCAAAGTTGATGATAATAAGAAATGTATCTCGAGCACCAAATCAGCATATTAGAATGATTTCTGAAGGATCATGTGACACTGAAGACTGGAGTAATGACTGCAAAAAAATGTACACAGGAATAAATAAAATTTTAAATAATAATATAATAGAAATTAGTATTTTCAAATTATAATAATATTTCACAATATTACCATTGTACTGTATTTTTAATAAAATAAATGCAGACTTGGTGAGCATGGCATCTTTCAAAAACATTAAAAAATCTCACCGACCCCAAATATTTGAATGATTGTGTAATATTATATTAAAAAGTCTTATCTTACACAACTTAGCTTCTCAAATAAATTTATCTTGTTTTAAGGACGTTTAGATTTTGCTGTAAAACAAGACAAAATATTGATTAATAAACGTATTATTATTTTTATTTTAGTTTTATTTATTTTTGCAGTGGTTTTGTTCACTGTACCTGTCGCAGGCCAATTTTCTTACTGTCCCACATCTGTTTAAAATTCCAGAAGAATGGCTGTTCACATTTCTGACATGAGTCACTGTCAAGCCACTCAGGAGTCTGAGACACAAAACAGATGAGGACATGCTTAAACTATGTAAACAGACATATGTAACTAGCATAAATACCACATGAGGCAAGCCCTATTGTACTAGACGCTTCATCCTTGCTCTACACAGTATCTCTCTCACCTCTTGTCGTGTGACGTCCATGTTCCAGATAACTGTTCCTCCATCTGAGCCACAGGAAATGAGCTGACGGGTGTGAGGAGCGTAACACAAACCCTGCACTTTATCACTGTCGCACACACACAAACACTCAAATATTAAGACCTGACAAGCGTGCTTTGCTTATTCTCATATCTTACATATAATAAATGACATCAATTCATCTGTCCTACTTGTGTCCCTGCAGCTCAATGGCTGTGCCTTTACGGCCTCCAATGTCCCACATGATGATTGAATGATCAGAACTTCCAGAGAATAAAACCCTTTGCACAGGATCCCAACACAGCGCTGTGACATTGCCTGCACACATATACACACACAGTCATCTTTGAAAGATTCAGATTCAGGAACGGCGCAAGTAATGGAATACATGTTTCCCTTATACAATATTTTATGGATGTAGGCATGAAGATTAATATATTTGTGTATCCTGAGGTTATAAGGACTTTAAGGCTACTCAGGGGGGATGACAGTATTGTCATCCAAGCCACCAGGGGATTCCATCCACACTAAAATGATTGAAGGAGGTCATTTAAATGTTAAAGGGATAGTTCACCCAAAAATGAAAATTTGATGTTTATCTGCTTACCCCCAGGGCATCCAAGATGTAGGTGACTTTGTTTCTTCAGTAGAACACAAACGAAGATTTTTAACTCAAACCGTTGCAGTCTGTCAGTCATATAATGGAAGTGAATGGGAATCACGGCTTTGAGAGTAAAAAAAAACATACACAAACAAAACCAAATTAAACCCTGCGGCTTGTGACGATACATTGATGTGTAAAGACATGAAACGATCGGTCTGTGCAAGAAACTGAACAGTATTTATATCGTTTTTTACCTCTGATACACTGCAATGTCTGAACTGTCCTGAGCACGTCCTTGACAGCCGCGCATGACACGTCTTCTTCCTCTTGCCTTACGGCGGATCGCAGACTTATAAGTCCATTACCACCACCTATCTCTCAAATGGACCATTGACACTCCTAATTGAGATTGTAGATAGAGTGTCAATGGTCCATTTGAGAGATAAGTGGCGGTAATGCACTTATAAGTCTGCGATCCACTGTAAAGCAAGAAGAAGTAGAAGACGC